ACAATAACAACAGCAGCAACAATAACAACAGCAGCAACAGTAACAACAGCAGCAACAATAACAACAGCGGCAACAGTAACACAGCAGCAACAGTAACAACAGCAGCAACAGTAACAACAGCAGCAACAGTAACAACAGCTGCAACAGTAACAACAGCAGCAACAGTAACAACAGCAGCAACAGTAACAACAGCAGCAACAGTAACAACAGCAGCAACAGTAACAACAGCAGCAACAGTAACAACAGCAGCAACTGTAACAGCAGCAACAGTAACAACAGCAGCAACAGTAACAACAGCAGCACCACAATAATTGCAGCAATAGTAACAACAGCGGCAACAATAACAACAGCGGCAACAGTAACAACAGCAGCAACTGTCGGAAAATCCGACACCATTTAATAATCATACAGATAATAACTGTATTACCAACAAGTTACCCATAGAAAACGTAACTTGTAGTGGAATTACCGTCTAAAGAAAACGGGATATCATCACCACATACTATTATAATTCACCAGCTATTCTGCTGGGAATTATTCTTAAATACATTAGTCTTTGGACTTTACCATCATAAAAACATCTTATATAAATTAACTTAATTATCAATATTAAAGTAGAGTAAATGTGACCCTTCTATCACTTTCTGAAATCTGGACAAAGTAGGCCAGGCGAGAGTGAGGAAGGAGGGCAGCCATTGTGGTGTCACCTCCGAGACGTGTGGAGCAAATTTAGCTCCTATCATTCTGGACAATGTCGGCCAGTAACGTCAATAGTATGGAGTGTTAAACAGCCATTGTGTTTATATTGAGACCAGAGGCTCACACGGGAGCAAATTCGGCTCCTGTTAATTTTACTTGGACGTAGTGTTATGGAAACCAAAGGTACCATCTCCAACACGATGTCTACAATCAAGTTAAGTGTCTATCCGAAACCCGTTTATCATTCATTTATGGCCATTAATGTCAGGATATAGGGTGACCCGGTTAGAACGCGAAATCGCCTCATACTAAAGGTAATTAAGCCAGGTCTTTAATGTTCCATGTACTGTATAGTGTTTTCTCTGATATAGCTTGTCATATATAGGATTCTGGCTTCACAGCTAGCGCACTTTTGACAGGTCAAGACGAGGATGCAAGTGTAGCCTCGAGGGAGCTCAGGAGCCTCCCTCAGCCCAGTTCAGCTTCGTCAGCGGTTTCATGCACACCCACAGATATTTGGTGGCGTGTTATTTCGTGAAATGACAGCGCTAATATAGAATCCAGCCAAATTAGTGACTGTGTCTTCGCGAGATTGTTCACGGATTTCGTGGTGTTACATTTCGCGAGAGATTATCTACGAATTTTGTGGACTTTATTTCGCGAGGTCACTAATAATATTTAATACTTCTAGATAATATTAGAAGTTTCATAGAGGCTAATTAAGAGGCTATTATCAATAATTGTGTATATTATTTCTCCAAAATAGAGAATTATTTAATATATATTGCACTAGTGATCACAGTATAATATTTACTAATTGCCAACCCACAACAGGGTAGGATATGACTAGTTGAACTATTATTGTTCATCCTAGTCCCATTATTACAATAGTCAGTTGTACTATATTGAATAACCTAACACCATTAATGAATGGTCCAGACCCTATTTTGGGTGTAATTTTTATCAACTCGAGTTGAGTTGTGTATATATAATAATTTACTTATGATCATTACACCTTTGAGTGATTAATTAGTGTCTCTACCATCCTAGGGTGATATAGAAGAGCTAACCTAAAGGTACTTCCAGTGACACTGGTTTATCACTCAAATCATTAGTGTGTATGATTGTATATATATAATGTGTATTAATTTTAAGTGCTAACCTCTAGTAGAGGTAGGATTATTGCCTAGTGAGTGCAGAATTTACCCTAGGCTACCATTAGTGTTTGTTCAGTATTATGAGCAGCCCAAGCACAAGTCCCACAAGGCTTCACCAACGAGCCAGTATGGATAATGCAGGGAGAATGAAAAGAACCCTTGCAGGTCTTAAAGGCCATTTAACAAGACAGATCAAGAAATGTGAAGATTTGTCACAACAATCAACAGTTGATTATGCTGACCTGGAAAGCTATTATCAAGCAGCTGCAGGTAAATTTGAGCAAATCAAATGCCAAATGGCTGTCCTTGTGGGGACAGACTACTACCATCAATTCATTGGTAGCCCTACTAAATATCAGGGTATAACCATGTTAAACTCTGCAGGAGGTAAATTACTCTCAGGCCCAGTATCAAGCCTGAGGAGACCTATGCCTGCAGATAAACAATACCAGTAGAAACTAAATTTGTCAGCTGATTATATTTCTCCAGTAGCATTATACTAAGGAGATTACAGCTGACTATAGTAACAGAGGTTGATGTTAGTATCATCATTTGAAGCTGAAGATGAGTTCATGAGGCCTCAGTGGCAAATCAGTGAACAGTAGCTAAAACAGCTACAAGTCACTGCGACCAATGTCACTGAACCCACTGCAGTCTCAGAACCATACTTTACTTTAATGATGAGCTATTCAATCCTCTGAATCAATTAACTAAATTAAACCCCAACAAATCTGATGACTGATTTGATACATTTATTATTTAATCAAGATGTATTCCATGGGCCTCAGTGTTTATATATCAGTGACCAGTTACCTGAACAAACTTCAAGTTATATCTGATCTCACTGATCTCACTGCAGTCCCTGAATCATACTTGACTGTAGTACTTGATCACATCCAGTCTTCTGGGTTAAATAATATGTAATAAGGCTTGAATATTAGCCTTTCAAGAGTTGACAGGGAAATGAAATCGCATTAGACTTCTAACCCTTGCAACTCTAGTACGGGACATCCGTCCTGTACGAACAGACGCACAAATGTGTGCTTACTAACTACTAACATCAAATTAATCTAATAATTCGAAGGAGGAGTATCGGTGTTCGTCTGTTCTAAATAGGACTTCGACCCGTGAGCAGCCCCTGGGGAATTATGTCGGAAAATCCGACACCATTTAATAATCATACAGATAATAACTGTATTACCAACAAGTTACCCATAGAAAACGTAACTTGTAGTGGAATTACCGTCTAAAGAAAACGGGATATCATCACCACATACTATTATAATTCACCAGCTATTCTGCTGGGAATTATTCTTAAATACATTAGTCTTTGGACTTTACCATCATAAAAACATCTTATATAAATTAACTTAATTATCAATATTAAAGTAGAGTAAATGTGACCCTTCTATCACTTTCTGAAATCTGGACAAAGTAGGCCAGGCGAGAGTGAGGAAGGAGGGCAGCCATTGTGGTGTCACCTCCGAGACGTGTGGAGCAAATTTAGCTCCTATCATTCTGGACAATGTCGGCCAGTAACGTCAATAGTATGGAGTGTTAAACAGCCATTGTGTTTATATTGAGACCAGAGGCTCACACGGGAGCAAATTCGGCTCCTGTTAATTTTACTTGGACGTAGTGTTATGGAAACCAAAGGTACCATCTCCAACACGATGTCTACAATCAAGTTAAGTGTCTATCCGAAACCCGTTTATCATTCATTTATGGCCATTAATGTCAGGATATAGGGTGACCCGGTTAGAACGCGAAATCGCCTCATACTAAAGGTAATTAAGCCAGGTCTTTAATGTTCCATGTACTGTATAGTGTTTTCTCTGATATAGCTTGTCATATATAGGATTCTGGCTTCACAGCTAGCGCACTTTTGACAGGTCAAGACGAGGATGCAAGATTATGTGTACCAGTTACTGGGTGATAGAAGCTACCTCAAAGAGGATAATTTGGTGTCTACACTCTAGTTATACCTGGTGGACTAACCTGCTGTACTATAAGAGAAGGAACCTCATCAATGTATGTAGCTATTACTGTAGTTTGATTGGCTGCATATATATAAACTAATAAACCCCCCCTAATGTGTAGAGGATCGATTTGTGAGATTATGAGATTATTGCAGAAATACAGTCCACTTATCATTATACAAATTGCTATCGAAGTATATAAATTAACGTAAATATAAATTCATATAAATTAAATAAATATAAATCTCACAGGTCGGTTCCCACAGCAACAGTAACACAGCAGCAACAGTAACAACAGCAGCAACAGTAACAACAGCAGCAACAGTAACACAGCAGCAACAGTAACAACAGCAGCAACAGTAACACAGCAGCAACAGTAACAACAGCAGCAACAGTAACACAGCAGCAACAGTAACAACAGCAGCAACAGTAACACAGCAGCAACAGTAACAACAGCAGCAACAGTAACAACAGCAGCAACAGTAACAACAGCAGCAACAGTAACAACAGCAGCAACAGTAACACAGCAGCAACAGTAACACAGCAGCAACAGTAACAACAGCAGCAACAGTAACAACAGCAGCAACAATAACAACAGCAGCAACAGTAACACAGCAGCAACAGTAACAAGAGCAGCAACAGTAACAACAGCAGCAACAGTAACAACAGCAGCAACAGTAACACAGCAGCAACAATAACAACAGCAGCAACAATAACAACAGCAGCAACAGTAACAACAGCAGCAACAATAACAACAGCGGCAACAGTAACACAGCAGCAACAGTAACAACAGCAGCAACAGTAACAACAGCAGCAACAGTAACAACAGCAGCAACAGTAACAACAGCAGCAACAGTAACAACAGCAGCAACAGTAACAACAGCAGCAACAGTAACAACAGCAGCAACAGTAACAACAGCAGCAACAGTAACAACAGCAGCAACTGTAACAGCAGCAACAGTAACAACAGCAGCAACAGTAACAACAGCAGCAACAGTAACAACAGCAGCAACTGTAACAGCAGCAACAATAACTCAGCAGCAACAGTAACATAGCAACAACAGTAACAACAGCAGCAACAGTAACAACAGCTGCAACAGTAACAACAGCAGAAAAAGTAAGAACAGCAGCAACAGTAACAACAGAGGGAAGGAGCCAGACTCACCCGGTACTCTCGCTGGCGACGCTGAAGGTGGACCAGAGCGCCCAGCGGTGATCATCCTGCTTGTTGGTGGCGGCCAGACGCACTGTCTGGGGCGAGGACTGCGTCAGCTGGTGCACCGCCTCCGTCCCTGTCACAGATGGTAATATAGCCCTCCGTCCCTGTCACAGATGGTAATATAGTCCTCCGTCCCTGTCACAGATGGTAATATAGACCTCCGTCCCTGTCACAGATGGTAATATAGTCCACCGTCCCTGTCACAGATGGTAATATAGCCCTCCGTCCCTGTCACAGATGGTAATATAGACCTCCGTCCCTGTCACAGATGGTAATATAGTCCACCGTCCCTGTCACAGATGGTAATATAGTCCTCTGTCCCTGTCACAGATGGTAATATAGTCCTCTGTCCCTGTCACAGATGGTAATATAGTCCTCTGTCCCTGTCACAGATGGTAATATAGTCCTCTGTCCCTGTCACAGATGGTAATATAGCCCTCCGTCCCTGTCACAGATGGTAATATAGTCCACCGTCCCTGTCACAGATGGTAATATAGTCCACCGTCCCTGTCACAGATAGTAATATAGACCTCTGTCACTGTCACAGATAGTAATATAGACCTCTGTCACTGTCACAGATAGTAATATAGACCTCTGTCACTGTCACAGATAGTAATATAGACCTCTGTCACTGTCACAGATAGTAATATAGACCTCTGTCACTGTCACAGATAGTAATATAGACCTCTGTCACTGTCACAGATAGTAATATAGACCTCTGTCACTGTCACAGATAGTAATATAGACCTCTGTCTCTGTCACTGTCACAGATAGTAATATAGACCTTCGTCCCTTCGCAATCATAGACTTGACTTGATCAAATTTAAGATATGTATTCACTGGGAAGAAATTTATGTGGGAAAAGTCTAGCTCTAAATATTAATAATAATCATGTAAATTGAATATAACGATAGCTTCTAAGAACCACCTCTTTTTATACAAAAAAGAGGAAAAATAAATTAATATTAAAAGTACTCAGGAATCAGTGTCATATGGATCTAGATTAAATAAATGAAATATTAAGAGAGCATTGAATGGACTGTAGTTATAATTAATTATTGAGCTTACCTAACACACAAATCTGGGCGTTACATACTAAAAGATAAATATATACCTAATATTATTTTAATGCTAGTTTTAAGTTAAAGTAATTTTGAATATTAGTTAAGTAAATAGTTGTAAAATGAATGAACGTAAATTTATCTAATTACACCGTGAAATATTATATACATTCATATTGAATGAATAGTACATGTATAGATAATAAATCATAGAAATAAGGCAATTAATAATGTGACAAAATTATCTACGATAAAATAATAAGAGCTGCTTAGCTGTAAAGAAGATTTCACAACATGCTTTCACACTCATATGCTCGTAGACATAAACCCATTGCCGAGGCTACTGTTCGGAACACGTGACAATGAAAGCCGCATGGAGCGGAAGACTATCTCTCCACTTGTTCTCACGATCCACGCTGGAATTACAGTTAGAATGTAAAATACGCCTAAATTAAATTGATATGCCACTATTCATGATGGCAAGTAGGATTACAGGCGAAATTTAAACTAATTTTGTAGTTGGTGTTATCACGCTTCGTCACGACGAGCAACCTACAACTGAATGTTAAAAAGTGCACTTAACTACAAAATCAGTAGGAAGTTGAAACATTACACTCGCCGGTACTTGCGTTGACTGTAGACAGAGACTATCTCGAACTCTGATACCTGTTATAGCAAGGATGACGTAATTACGAGTCGTTGCAGTGGGTGCTCTCAACACAATGCATCTTTCTCTCAGCAAGATGGCTGCCGTCGCTCTCTACTCAATGTGGACGCGTCTCTCCTCTTCCCTCTCGCTCGGATACGCATGCTCAGAACGCTCCAAAGTATTCTCGAGCGTAAAGTATTTTATTTCCTTGTAATTAATTAGGGAAGTAAGGAATCAAGACAAATACTTATGTCATAAATAAATATATTAGATCATAATACCACTTCTCGCAGGGCAATAGGTTTAATTAAACCTGCACGAAATAAACGAGAAGGGTCGACGTAAAATTATTTTACGTCACAGTGATATTAAACTGGGATAATCAATCTGATTAAATGATCGAGTTCAGTACGCCATAGTACGTGAAATAATCAGATTCTTTCATAAAATATTATACTTAGAAAGAAAGAGCAAATAACTGGACTCGGTAAAATCCAACAAAATGTGGAATATTTCATGTTTCAACCTGAGGCTTACTCACGGCGTCATGATGACTAGGAAGGATCTGGCAGAATATTGCCTCACAATAGAAAACATTAATTGTATTAATTCTACGAATTAGTAATGTTAGTAACTAAATGAGGAGAAAATGTTGGTTATTTCCAACATAACTCCGGGGGAAGAGGGAGGAATTTCAGGTCGCAGTTCACTGTTGAGTACTGACGTACCTATCCCTGCCCTGAAATTATATTATAAAGTTAATAGGTTAGTATGTTAGTACGCACATAACGGATGTCCCGAATCTGCTATAGCAGATAAGACTCTAAGTCTTTATGGGGAACATATATTAAATGTAACATCATTAAAGTGTTACATCATCTAAAAACAAGAACTTTCTAAATCTTCAGTAGATCTATGACTTGTGTCGTTATGACGTGTAAGGGTTAAATTACTCAGTCACAGAATGATTCTGTTAACTCAGAAATATTCAAGAATAGATGGTATTAATGTATAGGCTGTGTTAGGCTGTGTTCCACAAGGCTACACATGAAAATAAATTATAAATCTTAAGTTTATTATGTCATTCAAGATCAAGACGACTTCGAATCCACAGTACGGTCATTGTCTATGGTCATAGTGACTTGTAACTGTTTAGTTACTGCACATGAACCCATCACCGTATGATCACGATCGACTTAAATTCGAATGATAAGTAGACTGCATTTAGTCAGAATTAAAGTATTGTTGAAGCTTCAATTTACATTGCCGAGCAGCGACTCTAGATGGTCGTGTGCTCTGTTGAACAGTACCACTGTCTTCTGAAACTTATGGTAAAGCTGCCTCCGTCCCTGTCACAGATGGTAATATAGCCCTCCGTCCCTGTCACAGATGGTAATATAGCCCTCCGTCCCTGTCACAGATGGTAATATAGCCCTCCGTCCCTGTCACAGATGGTAATATAGCCCTCCGTCCCTGTCACAGATGGTAATATAGCCCTCCGTCCCTGTCACAGATGGTAATATAGCCCTCCGTCCCTGTCACAGATGGTAATATAGCCCTCCGTCCCTGTCACAGATGGTAATATAGCCCTCCGTCCCTGTCACAGATGGTAATATAGCCCTCCGTCCCTGTCACAGATGGTAATATAGCCCTCCGTCCCTGTCACAGATGGTAATATAGCCCTCCGTCCCTGTCACAGATGGTAATATAGCCCTCCGTCCCTGTCACAGATGGTAATATAGCCCTCCGTCCCTGTCACAGATGGTAATATAGCCCTCCGTCCCTGTCACAGATGGTAATATAGCCCTCCGTCCCTGTCACAGAGGGTAATATAGCCCTCCGTCCCTGTCACAGATGGTAATATAGCCCTCCGTCCCTGTCACAGATGGTAATATAGCCCTCCGTCACTGTCACAGATGGTAATATAGCCCTCCGTCCCTGTCACAGAGGGTAATATAGCTCTCCGTCCCTGTCACAGATGGTAATATAGTCCTCCGTCCCTGTCAAAGATGGTAATATAGCCCTCGGTCCCTGTCACAGATATTAATATAGCCCTCAGTCCCTGTCACAGACGGAAATATAACCCTCCATCCCTGTAACAGACGGTAATATAGCCCTGCGTCCCTGTCACAGATGGTAATATAGTCCTCCGTCCCTGTCACAGAGGGTAATATAGCCCTCCGTCCCTGTCACAGATGGTAATATAGCCCTCCGTCCCTGTCACAGATGGTAATATAGCCCTCCGTCCCTGTCACAGATGGTAATATAGCCCTCCGTCCCTGTCACAGATGGTAATATAGCCCTCCGTCCCTGTCACAGATGGTAATATAGCTCCACCGTCAGTGTCACAGATGGTAATATAGCCCTCCGTCCCTGTCACAGATGGTAATATAGCCCTCCGTCCCTGTCACAGATGGTAATATAGCCCTCCGTCCCTGTCACAGATGGTAATATAGCCCTCCGTCCCTGTCACAGATGGTAATATAGCCCTCCGTCCCTGTCACAGAAGGTAATATAGCCCTCCGGGTCTGTCACTGAAGGTAATATAGCCCTCCGTCCCTGTCACAGACGGTAATATAGCCCTCCGTCCCTGTCACAGATGGTAATATAGCCCTCCGTCCCTGTCACAGATGGTAATATAGCCCTCCGTCCCTGTCACAGATGGTAATATAGCCCTCCGTCCCTGTCACAGATGGTAATATAGCCCTCCGTCCCTGTCACAGATGGTAATATAGCCCTCCGTCCCTGTCACAGATGGTAATATAGCCCTCCGTCTCTGTCACAGATGGTAATATAGCCCTCCGTCCCTGTCACAGATGGTAATATAGCTCTCCGTCCCTGTCACAGATGGTAATATAGCCCTCCGTCCCTGTCACAGATGGTAATATAGCCCTCCGTCCCTATCACAGATGGTAATATAGCCCTCCGTCCCTGTCACAGATGGTAATATAGCCCTCCGTCCCTGTCACAGATGGTAATATAGCCCTCCGTCCCTGTCTCAGATGGTAATATACCCCTCCATCCCTGTCACAGATGGTAATATCCCTCCGTCCCTGTCAAAGATGGTAATATTAGCGTCCGTCCCTGTCACAGATGGCAATATATCTCTCTGTCCCTGTCACAGATGGTAATATTGCTCTCCGTCCCTGTCACAGATGGTAATATAGCCCTCCGTCCCTGTCACAGATGGTAATATAGCCCTCCATCCCTGTCACAGATGGTAATATAGCCCTCCGTCCCTGTCACAGATGGTAATATAGCCCTCCGTCCCTGTCACAGATGGTAATATAGCCCTCCGTCCCTGTCACAGATGGTAATATAGCCCTCCGTCCCAGTCACAGATGGTAATATAGGCCTCCGTCC